TTCTTGGTCTTGTTGTATGTGAATGTCTAAGTGAAAAGAAGTTGTCACGACCGCTATTAAACTTAAACGTAGTAAAAACGTAAAGATGACGTCTTAATGCTCAATTAAAAAAATTAAAATGTGAATGCGGCGTGTGGCATTCGACACCAGTCAGTACTTGGTAACACCTTCATTGACAGAATTCACAACTTCCAAACATTTCCTGTAGCCCGCTAAAAGTCCTAAATGTTTGCACGCAGCAGTAAGTAACCAGGTTTTCTGTGTTAAACTAATACAGTTAAGATTTTGCTAACTGATGTCCTTCATAACCAGGAACTACAGCATATTTCAAAAGATATATGTGTGCAAAATGAGGAAAATGGAACCTTAGTGCATAACCAGCTATTGGACTTACTTTACAGCATGACCTTACTGGGCAAAATCTATGTCCCTAACATATCAATTCTTTGGGATGTAGCTAATAAGACATTGTGTTCATATGTCAGAATTCAGTGGCCACAGAAGTAATAATCTAGGGTAACCAGATCTGTTCGGTAATGTCTGATGCGTAGGACAGGATATTCTGGGCTACAGCTCAGCCTTAGTTCTCTCAATGTGACCTTGAGCTTATCTGCTTGCTGCTGGAGATGGCTATTTAGCCCCATGTCTTTATTTGCTTAAGAGTCACTGTGGGTGAGTCACTGTGGGTACTCGTGAAAAACAGCACTATCAAAACACAGAGACAATAAAGTGTTTCCTTATCGGGATCTTCTCTGTTTTCACATGAATCGCATTCTGTGTCTTTCTTCCAATCACTTGCTCAGGGCTATTCTGGATAAAAATGAATCTTAACAGATATGTTTGTCACTTGCCATGCAAAGAATCACAGTAAACTCAAATTGTGATTAAAAACCCTACGGAAGGAGATATAAGCAATGTGAAAGGGCAGGAGAACAGCAGTTTTGTGGCATCACTTCATATTCCAAATTCCATATTCTTCATATTTCCAAATATTCGATTTTAGATGCAACTTCATTAGAATAATGTACAATAAATCTAAGAAACCTAATAGCAACCTTGTAATGTATCACCTGCTTCCTTTTTTAGGCTGATCAAAGTCACCATTTCATTTATTAGCACAACAGAAAAATGATCCATTAAAAATATTGGGCATCATATTAAAATCTTTGAATCCATGTGGAACTGGCAATGAAAAGCTAACTGGGGCTCATCTGTTTGCACTATATATAAAAAGAAAAGAAAACGGGAAAACCCGAAGGTACTATATACTATCTGAATGCTGTGAACTCTGCCATGACATAAGAATATATTTATACTCTCAAAATGATCAAAAGCAGTGCACCACAATTCTATGATATACAGTAGCTTCTTTGCTCCAAGAAAGGCAAAGAAATGAAAAGGTATCATTGGACATTAGGTATCTCTCTTTGTATTCAAATTGGAAGGTTAACTGATTTTCTAGTTCAGAGTGGCTCATTGCTAGTTCTGCACAAAGCAAGAACATGAGGGGAGTTTTTATTTTTTATTTTTAGCACTTTCTGATGGAAATTGAATTTTTCCAACCTGTTAATAACAGAACATTTGTGTAGCACTTAACATCATTACCTGTGTAACAAGCTGCAACGCAACAAGGTTTTACAAATGTGCATGGCTTGTTTTTATCTTAATCCAGAGTTTACCTGGAAGAAGGATCCCAAAGAAAACCACCTTAAGGAAATAAAAAGCTTTCGAGCCAAAGTATTTCTTCTTTGTTATGCTGCTGACACACACTGTTCTCTCTCTTGATTACAGCCAGATCTGTTGATGCTCAAAACGCAAAACAATCTGAGCGAGCAGACATAAACACCTACAATGCCAACACAGCAGACACAAGTACCCTTCCTTCCAAGATAAAGCAGTGTGTTGGACACCCCATGCCTTGTCTTGGACTACTGCTTTGCTTACTAATTTGGATATTCAGCTCAGTAAGACATGAATTTATACAAACAGGCATGTTTATTTAGTATGCTTTTACCTATGCTCTGAGACGTAAACAAAATTCTACGTTATAATTGAAATGTATTTTTTTCTCAATAATTCCAAAATCTCAAATGCGGAGAAGTATTAATAATTGCAGCTTCAATGCACTCCAGTTGTTCGATAAGAAGTCTGGTCACGTAACCTCTCATAAACAGTTTTTTCCCAAAATGCACCTTATCTGCACCCAGCCAAAAGCAGTCTGTAACATGGGATAAATAAGGTATTTGTTATGGAAAGTAGCATTCCACATGCGCAACCAAGAAATACATTATGTGCTCTAGTTATTCAATCATTGTATTGTTCGCAGTGGGTCAAGGTTTCTTTTTTCTCCCTGATCTACCCTTTTATTTGAAAATATGAAATGTAAAGCCTCTCTAAAAAGACACCATTGGTGTTCTGGAACAAACAAAGCTGACAAATTAAAATTGTGATTCAAACAGTTTTATTGGCATGACCAGTACGTTACAGTGTTGCCAATGCATATACAATCAATACAACACCTTCATACATGTATAATACAAAAACATCATAGGACATTTACATTCAACATACAGCACAGAATATTACTGAGAGACAGGTTTGCTGTTCCTCAGGCTGTGACATGAGATCACGTACTGTGCTGCCAGCTCAATTATAGTTCCCTCCTTCTTCTCCCAGTAGGGTTAGGAGCTGTTTTGATTCTGGTAGGTGTGGGAATTCTGGGGCTAGATTTGTTATTTTGGGGAAGAATGTTTGTCTAATCCCAGAATATTTCTCACAGTGCAGTAGAAAGTACATCTAGAGGACCCTGATGCCTATGCTCGGATGCTGTTTGTGGACTTGAGCTCTGCATTTAATACTCTGCAGCCCTATCTATTAAGCAAGTTGAAGCAAATGTCCATTAACCATAACATTTTAAAATGGTACATTCCTTTGTCCCACTATCCATTGAAGCTGTCAATGCAAATGTCAGGGATAAACACACTTTTGACTCTTACAACCCACTTGAGTGCAATATGTTTTGTGATGTGATACAAATGTTACATGTTGTTATGTGTTATACTGTACATGTGCAATAGAGTGATGTGCAATGTTTTTCTCATTTTGTGTAATAGAATAATGTGCAATGTCTTTCTTTTCTACTT